GGGCGAAAAAAAATGCTGTGTTTTCGAGTTTTGTGCCTGCCAGTCTGGCTAATGCCAACAGCAGATAGCTTTAAGCAGCTTCGTCTTCCTCCCTGATATCAGGGAATATCTGAAACTTGTAAATAATAAATTATTTAATGGGAATACAGTGCGGAAATAAAGTGAGAACTAAATCCAGAGAAGAAAATCAGGTTAAGCAATGTTAAGCTTTTTGTAACAGATACCGCATACACAAAATAGGGCTTATGTTTCGACAGGAGCTTCTAGGGGCAGCACAGTATGCCAGCGCTAACATGAGTGCCTTTGGTTGCCCCTGGTGAAATTACAGTCGCGCAATTTTCTTTTTCATATCATAGAGTAAGATCAGAGCCTTGGATATGTTATTAGAGGAGGCTGCTGCTGCTGCCAGTCCCTTTCCCTTACTGGCAGGTGGTTGATTGCAGATTATAGAAAGGGGGAAAATGAAGAACCGTAGTCTTACTCTATCTGGTTCATTCTGAAATATTCTGAAATCAGATCACATAAGTAAATTTTACCAAATTGAGGCATGGTATATTGGCTTGTGCTTTCTCTCTTGCTGTAATTAATACTAGACTAACTGGGAATAGTAGTTAGTATAAATTAATTTTCTCCAAAATATTTCTGAAAACATTGTTTGGCAAAGTCTCCACCCTATCTTATTTATTCTTACCAGTATCTACTTTCCTTTATCCTCTAAATCACAAGTTCATTACATGGACAGTATTCAAAGGCGACAATGAGAGCTGGTTTGGAATTCTTCTGCAAGAAATGAGTAAAATAGTTCCTCCCTAGAAAGACTGAGAGACATAATCAGATAGCTGGAGAAAAAAACCAAGATATAGCCAAAGGAATTTGTTGGTGGGTTTGAGTAGTTTTATGTCATCAATTAAAAGATGATCATGTACATTCAAGGCAATAGTATATCTGGAACATGTGATCTAACAAGAGTGTGTGGGGGCAGAGTAGAAATACAGCAGTTGCCATCTCTTGTTTGCCTCTGTATAACCAACAGGTTTTGTAATCCTGGAGCTCCAGGATGAAAGCTACTCCTGGAAGGTGAGCAAGCCCTAATAAATGTATGAAGCAGTGTGGGTAGCAAATGAGCCAGGGCTAGGAAGGGTGGAGTTGCATATAGGAGAAATACAAAACTCTGCTTATGAATAGCTTTGAAGATCACCACAGCTTTGACTTGAGAAAGCCACAGGAGACCAGTCTTTTGTAAGACCATATGGCATATATAT